TAACTCTAGCAAAAGGCATTCACGTCACTTTTCTTATCAAGTTATGACCTGCATTTTCAAAAGTGGGTGCTTATGGTTAGCTGCTAAATCAGGTCCCTGATTTACAGCACCATCAAACACGTAAGGATTTTACTGCCTGGCTTGTTTTTGATTTTGTTTTGATAAAAAGCTTAAAATGTCACAGAGTTCTGCAGAGATTAATGAATCACCAGGAATCTCAAAGATCACTTCTTTGACCAAAGTACACGTTGAAGTTTCATCTTTGAAGATATAATTATGAGCAGATGAACCGGGTAACTCCCCCACTCACTAGCATGGGGCAGCAATGATCTAATGTACTTGTGGAAAAAATAAGGTCCTGTGCAGAACCTCCATTATTTAACTTCACTTCAATTAAGTTTACTAATTAATGTCTTACAATCATAGAACATAAGACTAAACCCCAAGAAATCTGATTTCAAATTTAGCTCATCTTTGACTAGTATTTTAGACTAGGTAACCTGCTGGTGTTCCTTCTAACCTACACTGTAACTGTACTATGATTCTAGTTAAATCTCATGCAGTGTGATTATGAAGATTATGTGGAAAACATCAGAAATATTTACTAAATAAGGACATCTCCTGAGCTACTAAGATATTTAGCAAACCTCAAGCAAATTTTTAACTTGATAAGGCCAAGACAACAAAGGTGTTCTCAAGGCCTCCAGAGAACTATTAATTAGGGGAAAAAAAAAAAAAAAAAAAAGAGTAATGGTAGAATGGTAGTAAGAAGAAGAGATTAGATAAATCTTACACAATATGACTGTGGTATCAATTGCTCCTATCAAAGATGGCATAATATATTGATCAGGACAAAATGTACCAAAGCACAACAACCTGGGCTTCTATGGTATCAACTGCACTAGTGTTCAGAGGGAAAAATCTAGCTGTTTAGAACACTGCACTGGTCTGAAATCAAACTGCAAAAAAAAAAAAAACAAAACAAAACATCTGAAAGAACACAAGCAATAAAGAGTGGTGAGCATCACCTGTCCATGTATTAGTAGACACAGATTGTTCATACAAAAACTTACACTTAGGACAGACAAGGTGATTAAGTTCTTCTGGATGTAGTTCAGAATAGATTAAAGCAGGTATAAATGCTTGGAAGGAACACTTTCTTCCCTGAAATGATCTGGCAATTCAGATTATAAAAAGATTCAAAGTCAGCATCAAACCATGAACTTGTAAAAAGAGAGATTTGCAGTGCGTTCATTACTTCATATGGTCACGTAAATTTCAAGCTTAGTGACACTATCTATATACTACTCCACGTGACATTTCTCATGAATAGAAGGCCAAATCTCATTCATTTTAATCATGTTGGTTATCAGAGAGTGTTCTATTTACAGATGCATGAAAAGTATGATCTCATAAGTTAGCCAAGAAGAAATCAACAGGTCTATATTTTGCCTTCTGCAGTCTGATGCAGAATAACAACATCTCCAGAACTGGTGGTCATTACTGATATGGGAAAAGCCATGTTCCTTCAGAAAAAAAATAAATAAATAAAAAAATAAAATTTTCCTTTGAGAAAAACAGGGATTTCATTAGTTCCCTTTTCCATTAAGTATTTTACCATTCAAACTGATTAGGTGTGCCAGCTCAATCTAAGCATAGTATACCTCATGTATCTTTTTCCCTTCATATAATTTTACTCCATGAAAAACCGATATTAACAGAGATGCAGTTTTTATTTGAGAATTATATGATCATTAAAATATTACAGATAAGGTTTATACTGTTGATATATATGAACTCAACCTTACATTAACCTAGAGCTTTTACAAAGTCCTACAAGTCATGGCAGGAATCAGACAGATGTAACCTTACTCCTCTTTACTTAGATTTCCATGGAAACCACTTTTCATTACTAGACCGGGTCCCAGACTCACTTATTTTTTTCCTAAGATACCAAGGTCAAACCATAATTAATGTTTAATCATCAATACTATTTTTATTTTTTTTAATAAAAACACAGCATTACCTCTATTTAAAAGAAGAAGGGAGTAAGATGTTGACTAACATATATTTATAAGCATTTAATACCTTCATATTTAATAAAATAATGATAATTTCTCCTAGGCAATGTTATGCATGCTAAGTACCATTACTGATCCAGCCCATGTTGAGACAGCTGACATGTCACAATTATTTCTATATCTAAGCATATTTGAAATTTAAACTCAGAAGAATTGGAAATATTAAGTATGCATAATCAAGGTTTAAATGTACAAGCCATAAGTGGTGGAAGCATACTTTTCCCCTCCCAACACTTCTTTAAGATTCTTAAATAAATCTTTTACTAGGTATATCTGTTGGGTGACATATAGTTGATGAGCAAAGTCCTGTACAGATTTGAATCACACGTACATTTCATTATTTTTCCCTTTTATGTAAATAGAGTTTGTGGCCTTCTTTAAAACCTCATATTAATAAAATAGGCATCATTAAATCCAGCTCTTCTTTTTATTGTCTTGATTCAAAAAATAAGATACGCTTTCAAGACGAAGTAACTCAGTGACAAAGGTAAATAGGCCTTTTTCTGAAGAATCAATTAAAAGTTTAAATTAACGTAATGCAATCAAAGAGGAAAGATGTAAATTCAATGTGGGAATTTTTTGTTTGATAGGTTCTAACTTTCAGAGGCAGCTGACTTTTAAAATGATACCATTTCTTTGACAGATAATAAATATATATATATATATGTGTATGAGGGTCAGAATTCTCAATAGATTTAAATTAGCTACATTTTTTAACATTGATGGAGAAATATTAATTTTTATCAGTGGGAAATCTGACTCAAACTTAATCTGAGAAATAATCATGATCTTACAAATTATTCAGTCTTATACATTGTGTTTTACCTGATTGGCAGAGGTGTCTTATCAGGTAGATGCTACTGCATGTCTTGTTGGTTAAAACCATCACAAGGAAAAAACCAATGTCTTGATATAAAGGAGTTCACTTTATTTCCTTCTCAATAATTAAAGAAATCTAACATTGAAAAGGTATTGGGAAACCACACAGTCAAATAATATTAATATGCAGAGGTGGGATATGAACATCAAGTTACTCAAAATCAACACTGTCCAGGCAGAAACTTGCATCTTACAGAATAAATTACTTGTAAAACTAAATGTCTATATGAAATATTAAAGTTTAAAACCATGCCGTATAACCCATTTTAAATACAGTCACCCAACTTAGGCTGCCTCTTCTCCAACCGTATCTGAAAGTGAGCAGGCACACTGTATCAATCAAAAGAAGACTGCAGTGAGAAAAATAATCCCCCATCAAAGCAAAATACATAAATACATAAATAAGGCCAGCGTTACATAAAATATCAGCAGTACTGCAAAGTATTTAAATGAGAGCTTAAAAACTTACGGGTGTTTTTATCACCCTCCTCCTGCCCCCCTCCTGCACCACCCCAGTTTTTCACCTTTGCCCCAGCCTGCACTTGTTTTATTTTGGCACTTTAAGAGTCAGGTTTATTAGGCAAATATTTAGGAACTTGTCTTCAACCAAAATCCTGTTCACAGCTGCACCTGAGAGTTACTCCAGCCTTGGATTGGAGCAACTCTCGGGGATCAGCAAATTGTTTGCGCAGCCACGGAGGGGGAATTAAAAATCTTGTTGAATCAGGATTAGCAGTCCACAGGAGGAGGAGGAGGAGAGCTTATTTCCATAAGCTCTTCATCTCCCAGGCTGCTTCTCTACTCTCTGTGGCCTGCAGACATGTGTGACCCAAAAAGGAAAAAATAAAAAATATGAGAGAATGCACGAGTAAGACAGAAGAATAAAAAGACAAGAAGAAAGAAGAGGCTTTGTCAGTGACTGACTATGTCTTTGCCTTATCTTCTGGACAGGGTCTGAGCCAGTCCTCCTGCCCCTTCAGATGTACTTACTACAGCTTCCCACGCTTGGAAGTGCATAGCAGTGTCAAGACAGATCCAATAGTATGGCTAAGCTTTGTTCCTACCCCAGGCTACATTGCCAATCAGGTTAAACTTTGTGGTGCTGTGTTTATTTCTGTCTTCTGATTAATGGTAGTACAGCTGTGTATGCTGTCTGAAGTTCCACATCAGCCACAACTGCCTAGCTACCTATGTCTCTAAAAGTCTGGACAGAGCATGCTTTCTAACCTCATGGGTTCCATCAGCTGCTCACCATTTGCATGCACACCAATAATGTCTCAATCCAAAACAAAGTGCACAACTGTAGCATGCATCTTCCGTGCTGGAAGAATGAATAAAGCTGACTGAATGAATAAAGCTATAATATATTATTGTAATAATATTAGTCTTACTCTGAAACTAGGCAATAATTTTCAGCTGCATTAGATTTCTTGTACTGTGAACTCTCTTGAATGTCAACTAAGAGAGGGCTCAAAGCAGCTGCAGCTGAAAGACATCTATCAGTGCAGAGACATAAATGTTTTTTTCCCACTAAGAACCAAACTACATGTTCCTTTACTGATTAGGGAGAAAAATACCAACTCCAACGAAGGTATTCAGTAAACATCTGAGATTGGAATGCTTGTAGAATTGCCATCAGCCACTTAAGATCCTTAGTGATCACAGGCACCACTGACACAGCCTCCTCTCTTGAATGCAGCTAGGTTGTTTGAAGTACAACAGGATTGTGTGTCAGGCTGGATATTAGGAATAATTTTTTCTCAGAAAGGGTGGTAATGCACAGGCTGCCCAGGGAGGTGGTGGAGTCACCGTCCCTGGAGGTGCTCAAGAAATGTGGAGATGTGGCACTGAGGGACATGGTCAATGAGCATGGTGGGGATGGGTTGATTGTACGGGAACTACTGAGTCACGGCCTGAACCTCTAATTGATCACCTGAGGCGAACAATGTGTCAGCCAGAGGAGCACAGGTGAAGGCAATTCACCCTCTTAAATAGACCTATTTAAGAGCTGGCTACCACTGGGGAAGGATCTTGGCTGGAGATTCTTCCTTTTGGTGTTTTGTGGTGAGCTCAGCATAAGGGTAAGCCTTCCATGTATTCTCTCTTGTTATCATAGTCCACTTTGCCTAACTCTCTTGTTTGTTTTGTGATTGTAACATCTTGATATCCATTGATTATACAGTTGATGGTTGGACTAAATGATCCTAGAGGTCTTTTCCAGCCTTTATTATTCTAAGATTACTCCTATGTAAATGAAATCACAGCCAAGTAGAACATATATACTTCAGTTATGTTATTAGAAAGTAATCATAGGTACTATGCAGTAAAGAAAAACTGCATAGCCATGTGGATCTATCAGACTCAAAATAAGTTTGTATATACATGAGAAGCCAGACAGAAGCAATCCTTGCTTTATACACTAACATTTTTCTTCTGTTTTTATTTGCTGTCCCAGGAGAAACAAGTGAACAATTCTTTCAATATTAATTGGGGATAGATATATCTACCCTAATCTCTAAAATGCAGTGCACTCCAAACCATATCCTTCTCTGTAATAGTTTATCCATCATCAGGTCTTCTGACAGCTGCAATTCAGTAGAATCAGAAGTAGAAAACAATTTATGAAGTGCTCAAAAGAAGAGAGAAATCATGCATGTCTTAGCTGTGGGGTCACCTCAATCAACCATCTTTTAAGAAGCTACATTTGAGACTTATGCTAAAGTTGAAACAGCTTGGGTTTGTTGACTTTGGCAGTCTAGTTCTGTTCACTAGGATAGCTTGAAAATTTTAGATGAAAAATTTGTGTAAATTTGGACCAATTTCAAAACTGCGTACTTATGATTTAACAGTTTTCTTATTTCTTTTATTCTTTCTTTTTTTTTTTTTTTTCCATGGTTTTATTTCCCCTTTCCTGCCCCTTTTCCTTTTTTAAGTACCTGAATTGTTTTTTTGACGTGATCTTTTCCATCCTAGAGTCCCTACTGCTGTCAACACTTACACATTTGAAGTCCACTGGAACTTCTCAGGTGTGACTGTACACCATTTCAACCACTTCTGCAATTTTCCTTCTCATAGACTGCTTCAGGTATGAAGAGTCCCTTAAAGTCATTTAGATGATCTTTAGCGCCTTCCAAATTGCAATTGCTCATCCAGATTTTCCCAAAGATGACTGTGATATTGTTGCATTTGCCTAGACCTTTCTAGGAACAGTCTGAATCTGGGTACTCCTATAATTGCTTCCCCAGATTTGTTGGATCCTACTGGCAGAAGACATGAAAACCCTACTGGGAGATCTCTGTGCCATGTTTTTTTTCCTTGGCATAAAGCACCTAGACTACAAGAGTGCCAGTCATCTCTTCTTTTTTGCACTGTTCTTCGCATCCCATATTTCTTAATTTTCTTCTGAAGTCTCATCTCTTCAAACTTTGTAACTAACGACAAGTAACGTTACGCACCACCCCTCCAATTCTTTATCTGATCTTCATAGTGTGAAAAGGAATCACTTATTTCCCTTTTTACATCAAAAATCTTCAGTTTCCAACACAAGCACATCTTATGCTGCTCAGGGAACCCACACAGACCTGTCTCACCTCTTCTCTATTTTGTGCAGCTGATGTTCCTCCAATGTCAACTACCACTCAGCAGAGCAGCCAAGACTTGCTGTTGATATGTGAGCTGAACCCTATAAGACAATCAAGCCAGAAGTTGTACAGCCACCCTTATTTTCTTGGCAGGAGCAGCAAGGTGACAGGGAGGTTGCTCTCCTAGTCATACCTAAAATAAATAAATTGATAGATAATGCAGAGTGTGTAAGATGCATTTCCCAGAGATGTCTTCAGTACATTTTTGCATTGTTTTCTGTTCTTTAGGACTGGTTTGTTTTCTTTAGGACTGGTGCAGTGGCACATTGCATTACTGCAAACTGGTGCTGATGCTCAGAGGCTGTGCCCACTCTGTCAGGATTCAAAATATTACCACAATCTGCAAGTAAGCAATAAGATATGACAAGGAGTGTGATACTGTAACGTAACAATGTACCTCTAGGGACACCTGCGAGGAAGGAGGTGAAACTGAGTGTATTCAGCTGCCCAAGGTGCGATTTTTATCTCAAAATATAATGTAATAAGATGTGATAATAAAAAGGCACAAAACTGAAACAGACCATGTCTATTTTAGAATGTCAACTTATTCATGCAGTATACTTTAAAAAAAAAAAAAAAAATTGCATTTCCTGTGTTCTAAACAAACTATTTATAAAATTAGCAGATATAATTTGAAATAATGTTTATGAAGCCATAAAGCCATTAGCCACGGTAGTCCAGGATTATAATTTCCTCACATGAGTTCTTATCCAAGAAACACACGAAAAAAATGCATTTCCAGTATCAAACTGGATCAATGCTAGAACTGGGCTCATTCTTTTGTCTCATTTTAAATATCAGAGCTATAGGAGCACCCATAAAAAACATAATATACAATCAGGCAGTGAGTGGTGTGTTTCAGCAGTGGTGATGGCGACAGGCAAGCAGATTTTTACAAGCTCAGCATGCATGCATGCTCTTGTTTATCCCTGGTGAAAATGCACAGCTAACAGTGGTGTCTGTGCTGGAAAAATAGTGCTTTGTAGTGTAGAATTTGTTCTATCAGATGCTGCTATTGTGCTCTTTGTATTTATTGTAGTTTCTCTGGAAATAAATAGGAGGCTCTACTTTTGGAGCAACCCACATACATTCATTCCAGTGTTAAATGGAAAACAAATAAACAAAAAGAAAGCTGGAAGGCCAAACTGATGCATAGAAAATAACTACTGTAGGCTTCACTGTGATTATACTTATTTAAACACTGAAATCCCATTGGAATGAAAATCTCAGCTCCAGTAGTAGCTCCCGTTACTAGCCGTGCCTCAAGCCATTTTTTTTTTTAAGCATGTGCATAAATGTAACCCCATGAACAGCTAAGTCCCACTGATTTCAGTGAGAGCACTCACAGCCATAAAGCTCGTAACAGTCTTGCATTGGGGCAGGTGTTATTTCTTCTTGCCAGTATTTTATCATTCTGAGCCGTCTAGTTTAGCTTGTGAATGACTTCAACTCAGCATGCAAGGATGCACTGTCCTTATTTTTGCTCTTTACAAACTTTGAGATGTGTTATTCAATTTCGCTCTCTAGCATAAGTCTCAGCATACCTGCACAAAGCAAAATGTAATTTCTCTGTCTTTTTTCCCCCTGCAAAGATGGAGTCTGCTACCTTGACTCATGAGCTCAGCAACGCAGGATTATGTCAATCCTCAGGTGGGAGATCTTCTTGGGGAAAAGAGGTCAGAAAGTATTTGTGCCTTAGTGGACAGCATCATTACTTCAAGTGCTGACACTTTGTTCCTGCTTGGCAATGTTTCTATCAGTGGATTGTGCTATAGGAAGAGTCAAATGAAGGAATAAAACTGAGTTTTTGGCTATTTGCCTCCCTCCATAGAAATTTTCATAATAACATCCCCAGTGTTATGTCTGGTTTCAAATTGGGATAATTGCATTCTGCCTACCTGAATTTCTGTTCTGGAGTACAGTTGGATAAACTAACACTTGCTGCCAGAATTCTGATGTTGTTTAGGGGCACAATATACTTTTAAATAATTGTAGTTCTCCTCTCCAGAGACAGGTTTGAGACAATTCACAATGCAGCAGTGGTAAATATTAGAACAATACATATAAATAAATAAAGGAATTTCAGGAGTGGTTGAAGTGATTCCTTTACACACGCTCACACACAAGCACATGACCCTTCAAGATGAGAGGCAGTATATGAGACACTATGTTCTAAGACATTGCAATGTTATTATGCTTTGTATGGAGGATGCAATATAAAATATTAATGTATTTCATTAAAATGACTCTTAATGTCAATATGTAGTGTGACTACGCCATGATTTCTTATGTTAGTAGGTGCTTTACTAGAAGTTATAACTTTACATTATTCAACCACAGTCGTCTCTGTAGCAAATGTATTGTCTCTGTTATCAACTTACATATGCCCCATGAAAAACCATTGCTATGGTGATGAGTATTTTATGGTACAGTATTCACCTAATTATAAACTGTTCTCTAGCAGAGGTGCTAACATTATTTTCAACAGCAAAATCCATTTTCAAAATTAAAATATATGCAAATAATTGAGCCATAACCTTCAGTAGACAGTATTTTTGATTGATAATTATTTCTGTGTATTAAAAATATTAGAGGTAAATGTAAAAGTTATTGCAATGGGTATTTAAGAGGGCTTATTTTTATAACTCTAAGGCGATGTGTACCTTTGTTATTTGCTGACGGACTATATGCCGTTAAATTGGAAAAGTTACAATGGAAATAAAATTATCTTATTTCTACATGAAGCATAAGATCATGCAAAAGAAAAATGCAAGATCTGGGTTTATTAAGCATTTATTTCTAAACAGTATCATCCCGAGAAAATGGCATATTTAGTTCTCTGACTTTATTACCACTTCCATGCAGCTCAATGTTTTTTCTTCAAATCATTATGAGGATTATACTCAGTCTGAGAATTTGACACCTGCTGTTTCAAAACTCAATCACAAATGTTTCAGGATATAAATCAGTTAGTACAGAAGAGATGAATAAGATTCAGACTACAATGTAGGAAGATTTAAAAAAAAAAATCAAAATCAATATTATTTGCAGTAAGTAAAATAAGTCAAAACAGTTATCCAGAATCTGGAGTGAATATGTTGCATGTGTTTAAACTAGTATTATCAAATATACAACAGAATGGTAAAAAGAAAAAAAAAAAAAAAAATGAAACAAAACTCCTAGTAGCAGAGGAAGTAATATTGTTTGAATCCCTTAACAGTCAGTACGAAAGCAGCAAGACTACAGGGTACAGACGATGGTTAGATGGTTAAGCTCACAACACCAGAAACGCTTGAATGAGAAAGAATGTAACATCGCTAGGTGATAATGGGTAAGAAAAATGTTTGTTCTTTTTATTCATTAAATAGGAAAATTATACAGTACCCGATATAATTTAGCATCTACGATGCTATAATAAACATGATAGTGATACTTAAAATTATCTGACTATTTCTATTCTTTATTCCTCTACCTCTTCTTCTTTTCCTCTTATTTAATTACTGTACCATTAATTTTGTACAGTATTTTTGGGGCACATTCTTATAAGAGAAGCTGTAATGTATCAATCAAAGTATTGGAGAATATCATACTGATGATAATTCAAATAGCATCATCTATCATCTGTATTTCCTGTAGTTTAAGCAGGATTTCTGTTTGATAAATTGTTTAGTCATAATCTTAACTTTAAGCATGCACTGAAATTGTCTGCATTCATCCAAATATTTAAGCATATGCTTCAATTGGAATGAAGTGTGTATGTAGGGTTAAACAGATGCTTTGCTGAACTGAGGCACGGATCCTAAAATTGTGAGCCTGATCCTTGATCTATTGAAGGCTTTCAACTCTGCTGGATGTTAGTTCTTTTGTTATGTGTAAAGCTGTCCAGGAAGGATGAGATACTGACCCTAAAATGAATAACAGTACATTCAGCCAATGTTTTTGCTCATGTCTGTTTTGAATAGAGATGGGATAAAATTAAGGTCTAAAAACTGCCATATTTGGGGAAAAAAATAGGAAAGAAGGCCTGAATTTGGATATAGTCCCAATTTCTGTCTTTTGTCTGAAGGTTATTGGTGTTGGTACAGTACAGGAAAGAACTGATTCCAGCCTGTTTTATTTTCTATTTAGGATTTTATTTAATGTGTTGCATTTCTGCAGCACAAATACTGGTGCTTGCATCATTTCTTTAGGAGAACATTTTGAAGGGAGCTCCTGTATAATGAGGTGATTGTGAATGGAGGCAACCAGTTCATATAAATGTATCAAATTATTAGAACTTCTTTTCATTTCTCTGCTCCTACCTGAAAACTCTTCCAGAACTTCAGTCTTCTGCTAAGTTATAAATCTTCTCATTTCTGTTCTGGATTTGTTTACAATCAGTTCATACTCATTTGATCTTATGCCAACATTGTCTTGGATTTTAACCTCACACTAACTCAGGAAACAAAGTGAGAATTTTTAAAGGAGAAAAAGGGATTACACTGTTGAAAGTCTGTTATACTGTAGAAAATTCAGAAAATTGAAAATGCTGCTGCATTCTGACTTTTGGATAGACTTCATCCCTTATGTTAGAAACCACTGAAATCTAAAGAAATGTAGTTTCACATTTCTCTAGAGAAATAGATGTAGAAGTCTCAGCCATCCTGACAATAACAAAACAACTGAGAATTTATCCTTAGAACTAATTGTATCTAAAACAAGAGGTAACTTTGTCAGATTTCTAGTCTGTTTAACTGTTATTTTGAAAAAACACTGGTCAAACCGCCCCTCACTGGGATACGCTTTGTTTCTCACAGTCAGAAAACTAAGAATGTTATCCTCTGTATTCTCCAAGGTTTCTGGATTGCACCAGTTTGAGGCTATTTACACAAAAGTCATTGTTCTATTAGGTCAAATTCTATTTTCCTCCTCTCATTGAACTGGTCATTTAACAGGGGGTTCTCAGCAAAGATGAAGTTGGTGTTGTCTTTTTTTGTAAGTAAAAATACAGACATCTTTCTACAGTCTTGTCCCAAGTCTGCAGCTCTCTTTTGACACTTATAGCATAGGCAGAAGATTCAAAGAAAAGTACAGTTCCTGGTAGAAGAGTAAATATTTTGTCTGGTTAATCTTTTAAAAAAGATGGGACAAGATACCTGTGCAGGATCATATGTCTTTCAGTCACAGGAAAACACCTACAGATATAGGTAATGTTCAACGCATTCCATATGTAGTAATCTCAGATTTTTGTTTAAGGCAATGAAAGAACACAATGAATTTTCAAGATTTTCAAAGCAATGGAGTATTGCAGATACCTCCTAAACTGCAAATCACATTTATAGTTTGAATTTAGCTACGTACATCGTGTAAAAACATAAAGACACGTGAAAAATAAGTAAGTAGAAAGACTTAACAACTTGAATGTCAATGGGAGAGAGTGACATTAAAACTAGAATATTTGTACTTCACTGGTCGTACACAAAAATATATAATTTCATGAAAAAAAATCTCAATGTGACAAAACAGCTTGACAAATCCAATAAAAACTTAGCATTCTCAGTCCACCAATACTACTGTGCCCTGTAAGTAAAATTTTCGTGTTAGAAACACTTGAGTCCAACTTCATTGGATCATAGGAGAAGATAACTTTTATAAATGTTTAAAGCCTCTGATAGGACACTGAGAATCTCTAAAGATATCTTCCCGATAAATAAGCTCATCACATTGAAATCTTATCCTCTTTTTCAGGGTGACAAGGAATCTTGTAAAGTTAGCTCTACTTCCAAAACTCGGGGAAGAAAGTAAAAATATCCCATAAATAGTAAGGATTAAAAATGCTAGTGCCCAATCCTATTGATTTCACTTCGAGTTGAGGGCACTCAGCACCTTGCAGGAGGCTCTTGCAACATCAGACTATCAGACCCTTATGCAGAAGCAAATCTTTCATTGATTGCTCTTAACTGTAAATGAAGTCATTTCAGAGGAAATAGCACAG